GAAATAAATCACTGACTTTTTTGGACTATCCTAGGTAATTAATTTGCATATATATATTACTATGTATGAGAATTGTACTTGTGTGTACCTGCCTAAATAAACTTTTAACTAAACCAGTAGGGGTCATACAACGCCTGGAGAAATGGTAGGTAATGAGGTTTGCCCAAGGAAGGGAAGGGCAGGCCCAAGGCCTTTGATCAAAAGCCTCTCGCCAGCATCAAGGAATCTCCCTTGGGGCGTCAACTACTCCATAGTATAAATATCTAATGGAGTTACCGTGTCTGACTCGGGGAACCTCTGGGATAACCTTAGCCTTGCCGCCTACCCATTTATAGGTACAGCATCTTTCCTGGAGGGTGCCTTGATGGTAAAGAGTTCTTCATCCAAGGAATTGGAGCTACCCTCCCCTTGAGTCAGATTTGATTGCCTTCCATTCATCAAATGCTTTATGACACTTATATGTACAACTATTATTGTGCATTTTAAGGGGAACTAATTTTAATATCATTGTCGTTAATATTGACATTGCTTGAAACTTGTTATGTATTGAAGAGTGGGGGTGGTGAGAGACAAGCCTAGTAGGGTAGCAAGGACATCCTCAACCTCCCCACACTCCCAGAGTGCCAGCGTGTGTAGTGCCACGTTGGTGGTTCCTACGTCACTTCCCACTCTCCACCCGCTCACAGGACCCCTCCCCCCCAAGAGACAGGACCCCCAGCAATACCCCATCCTGTGTCTCCTACCATCCCTCCCTCTCCCCTCCTACGCCCATGGCTTCACTAGGTTAACTCGTGTTGCTTGGCCAGAGAAAAACAAGCCACTCAAATTCTTGTTAATGAACCTTGTAACTAAGCAGGCTCAATAGTAATAAGTCACATGTTTGAATGTCCTGAGTTATCCTACGCTGAATCTTCGTAATATGCTATATGTGTATGCCCGCAACATGTGTGCTCACAGAACCATTATACAAATTCTTACTCGACTCACAAAATCGTAATGATACGATTGCAAACAGTCGTTAACGCGTCGGTCTGGAGTTGACTATCTGATCGCGAGTTCTAACCCCGCCCGAGTATGGTTTAAATTCTTAGTACTTTGTGTGCATTCATTTGCAGATTTTCCTGGATGAACGTGTGCATATTTATGGACTTTTCCGTAAAGGAATGAATGAATTGTTAACCCGGCCTTGTAAACATATCTTGAAATATATACTTTTTATTTACGAAGACCCCTCAAGGAAGGTTCCTTGATGTTGGTGAGGGGCTCTTGATTTAGGAAATTGGATCTGTGCTCCAGTTCCCTGAATTAAGCCTGAATGCCTTCCACATCCCTCCCCAGGCGCTGTATAATCCTCCGGGTTTAGCGCTTCCCCTTGATTATAATAATAATATTTACGAAGAATCCTTTGGTTTAGTCATTGCCCAGGACATAAAGAACCATGAATTTTGTAGGTATATGTCTTTAGCGTTTTTATGCGTTGATTTAAAAAAAGAACTTTCTCTAATAAGTAAAATATATTTAATTGGATTAGGCTAAATTAAATTACGCTTGTTATAATGAGGTTAAGTAAGTTTTCTAAGGTTCTTTTGATACAAAATTATTAATTGTTACATTAACATTAATGAAAAATATACATCTTTAAACGCATAAGAGCAAGTTTTAGAAAGGACTTCATTTTAAACGAGTTCTTGCTAATTGACCAGTTTTATCTATTCTGCACGACATTAGAATGTGTTGTATATATTATAAAATATGTATGCTAATGTTTGTTTGTATCATTACTGTATAGCAACCATGCAAAGGAGGGGGAGGAATTATCTAAAGTGATTGCTTCCCTTTCCCCACGCGCTTTATAGTTCATACGGGGTTAGCGCTCCCCCGTGATCATAATATTTAATATGGTGAGGTGGGGTTTGAGGCAGTGTTCTTGGTGGGCCTGTGAAGAATGTTAGAGTCATCAACCACGTCACCATCACTAACTCCACCTATACTGGCCCCTTCAATATTAAATCATTTAACGTGTCAAGGTCTTGCGCTGCTGCTTTTAAAGTAGCTTAACATCAGCATACTTCGGTATCTTTCAGGGTCGCTATTTTTCAGGGTCACGCGAGTTAAACATAAAGCAAAAAATGTGTGTAAACGTTTGGGCTTAAGGTCCACGTGACCATGTATGATGTGGCTTTCACTCTTCCAAGCCGTTCCCCTACCTTTCACTCCTCCACCCCGTTCCCCTACCTTTCACTCCTCCACCCCGTTCCCCTACCTTTCACTCCTCCAAGCCGTTCCCCTACCTTTCACTCCTCCAAGCCGTTCCCCTACCTTTCACTCCTCCACCCCGTTCCCCTACCTTTCACTCCTCCACCCCGTTCCCCTACCTTTCACTCCTCCACCCCGTTCCCCTACCTTTCACTCCTCCACCCCGTTCCCCTACCTTTCACTCCTCCAAGCCGTTCCCCTACCTTTCACTCCTCCACCCCCGTTCCCCTACCTTTCACTTCCTCCACCCCGTTCCCCCTACCTTTCACTCCTCCACCCCGTTCCCCTACCTTTCACTCCTCCACCCCGTTCCCCTACCTTTCACTCCTCCACCCCGTGTCTCTACCTTTCCACTCCTCCACCCGTTCTCTACCTTTCACTCCTCCACCCCGTTCCCCTACCTTTCACTCCTCCACCCCGTTCCCCTACCTTTCACTCCTCCACCCCGTTCCTCTACCTTTCACTCCTCCACCCCGTTCCCCTACCTTTCACTCCTCCACCCGTTCCCCTACCTGGAGGTTACCTGGAGGTTACTCCGGGGATCAACGCCCCCGCGGCCCGGTCCACGACCAGGCCTCCCGATGGATCAGGGCCTGATCAACTAGGCTGTTACTGCTGGCCGCACGCAGTCCGACGTACGAGCCACAGCCCGGCTGATCCGGCACTGACTTTAGGTATCTGTCCAGCTCTCTCTTGAAGGCAGCCAGGGTTTATTGCAATTCCCCTAATGCTTGATGGGAGGCGTTGAACAGTTTTGGGCCCGACACTTATGGTTGTTTTCTCTTAGTGTACCAATGGCGCCCCTACTTTTTATTGGCGGCATTTTGCATCGCCTGCCCAGTCTTTTATTTCGTAGGGAGTGATTTCTGTGTGCAGATTCGGGACCATTCCTTCCAAGAATTTCCAAGTGTAGATTATGATATATCTCTCCCTCCGCGTTCCAACGAGTACAAGTCAAGTGCTTTCAAGCGTTCCCAGTAGTTAAGGTGCTTGACAGAACTTATACGTGCAGTAAAGGATCTCTGTACACTCTCTAGATCTGCGATTTCACCTGCTTTGTATGGAGATGTTTAATGTACAGCAGTATTCACAGCCTAGAGAGAACAAGTGATTTGAAAAGGATCATCATGGGCTTGGCATCTCTCGTTTGAAAGTTCTCATTATCCTCCTATCATTTTCTTTGCACGTGCGATCGTGGCACTGTTGTGATCCTTGAAAGTGAGATCCTCAGACATTACTACTCCCAGGTCCCTTACATTATTTTTCCGCTCTATTGTATGGCCGGAGTCAGTAGTATACTCTGTTCTAGTTATTATCTCCTCCAGTTTTCCATAACGGAGTAGTTGGAATTTGTCCTCATTGAACATCATATTGTTTACCGTGGCCCACTGGAAAACCTTTCACTACCTTTCACTCCTCCACCCCCGTTCCCCTACCTTTCGCTCCTCCACCCCCGCTTCCCCTACCTTTCGCTCCTCCACCCCCCTTCCCCTACCTTTCGCTCCTCCACCCCCCTTCCCCTACCTTTCGCTCCTCCACCCCCCTTCCCCTACCTTTCGCCTTGCCAGTCTTGAGCAACACCAGTTGCTGGCGTACAGTTAAAATAAGAAATTATCTTTTAAGTTGTATTCTGAAGAGGTGTTACCGGTTGTTGAATGCCCAAGTAAATAGAGAACAAATCAATACGTTAAATAACTTTCCACTGGATACATTGGACCACCCTTCGAGAAGGGGTGCCATTATGTTGGCGAAGAGCTCTAGATCCAAGGAATTGAAGCTGTCCTCCCCTTGATCAAATTAAACCATTCACAGGGCGTTTTAACACCTTGGCCCGAAATGTTTAGCGCTTCCACCATCAATGGTAATAGCGTTATCCCTCTTCACGCCCAACCAGTTTTCTTTTGTATGCTTTGCAATCTGTTTACCTGGAGTCTACCTGGAGGGTATTCCGGGGATCAACGCCCCCGCGGCCCGGTCCAGGCCAGGTCATGGACCGGGCCTGGTGGATCAGGGCCTGATCAACGAGGCTGTTACTGCTGGCCGCACGTAGCCCAACGTAAGAACCACAGCCCGGCTGATCCGGCACTGACTAGGTATCTGTCCAGCTCCTTGAAGACAAACAGAGGTCTATTGGTAATTCCCCTTATGGCTGGTGAGAGGCTGTTGAGCAGTCTTGGGCCCCGGACACTTATTGTGCACAAACGATTAACAGTGTTGTAATATGTTTAACAAAATAAAAATTATATCTAATCCTGAAGTCATAACACTTGTCATTTTATAAAAAGTAATTATTACTCGGTGTTCTGACTTAGTGTGTGTTGGCCTGTTCGGTTTAAAACATGATGACTACATGAGGGACTTCAAGGTTGTTAGGTAAGACACATATGCAACAGTTAGGTATCTTTATTTTGAAACGTTTCGCCTACACAGTAGGCTTCTTCAGTCGAGTACAGAAAAGTTGACAGAAGCAGAAGAGACTTGAAGTCTCTTCGGTATTTTATACCATTTTAATGTTCGACTTCAAGGTTGCAGGTCACCTACACATCAAAATGTTTTAATTCCAAATATGGAAAATGGTCATTACTTCCCTCCCTTATCTGTCTCTCGTCTCACCCAATCTTCAGGAGGGGAAGAATTCCACCTTCAGTGTCCCCCTTCCCTTCATTTTTGGGGAGTAGGGAGGGGAAGGACGCCCTCCCCTCATTCCCCTTCCCCTCATCTGGGGGTAAGGAGAGGGGGGAAAGGACTCCCCCTCTCCGTCCTTCCACTCTCCTCCATGGGGTTGGGAGAGGGGAAAGGGGACAACCCTCAAGATGGGTGGTGTTGGTTAGTCAGTGAGCAGTTCAGTGCAACACTATCACTGCCTCGGGTAGGTTGTTGGCTGGCTAAAACAACAGTGCTTTATCCTAGTTTCTCCTCGCATTCTCACCCACTCCTCTCACATCATAGTGGTAAAAAGACTTAATATTACGCTTTTCTATACCTATTTTGAAAATTAACGGGGCTTAGGTGATTGTTTTTGTGTTTAATTCATTCACAAAGTATTATTACTCAGAAATGAATTCCCTTTAGTGCTACAACATATAGTTACAGTGGATATTTACTTGCAAGTACTGGATTACCTTATCTTGTGCAAAGCTATTTTGTAAAGCTTATTATAATAATTTTCAAATGGTTTCTAGTCACGGCTAGAGATATTTCGTATTTATATTATACAGGTAATTTCCATCCTGAGGGCGGTACTCTTTAAGATTTAATGATACAAAATGTTCAGTAGAAGCTTGGCCCAAATGTTCTGCTTGATAAGCAAGTTATAGTGACAAACTATTTCCAAACTTGTTTCCACAACATACAGTACATAGTTTTACAAGATTCAGTAACATTTGATACTACTCGTGTAAAGTCCCTGGTTATGTATAGCATTTCGGGCAAACTGAAACTCAAGAGTAAGGTGTACCATAGCTCGGTTGGTAGCGCTCACACATTGAGCTCCGTGGTTCGATCCCCGGTACGGGTGGAAACATTTCGACGCGTTTCCTTAAAACACCTGCCGTTCCTGTTCACCTAGCATTAGATAGATACCTGGGTGTTAGTCGACTGTTGTAGGTCGCATCCTGGGTACAAAATTTGCCCGAAATGTTCTGCATAACAAGGGGCTTTCTATTGCAGTATGTCATTGATGTCAGCTATGAAAACAAACCATACCACGGGCGGGATTTGAACCCGCGGTCAGAGAGTCTCAAAACTCCAGACCGTCGCGTAAGCCACTGGAGTTTTGAGACTCTGACCGCGGGTTCAAATCCCGCCCGTGGTATGGTTTGTTTTCAATCGTGTCATTACGATTTCGTGAGTCATGTCAGCTATGGTCTGTATAAGTTGTATCATGTACTTGTAGGAATAAAGATTATGATTATTATGAATAGAACATAATAGACATAGTAAACACTGTAAATATATAATGTATGTATACAAGGACATTATATATACATTAATTCTACTGAAGATAATAAGCATATACACGAGTAGATTGAAAGTGTAGCATGGTACATACAGTGAGGAAAAAATAACATAATTCAAGTCCAGCCAAATCAGATAGGTTCTCGGGTACAAATTTATACAATAATTTAATAACTAGAAATAAGGAATGATTCAGATAAAGTTTTGTAAGAATATTGAAATAACGCTCCTATGGGAAAGCCAATACAAACAGTAAGTAAGTAAGTATGTTTATTCAGGTATACACAAATACAGTTACATAGAATTATCATACATAGCAGCATATGTGTAGAGAACCTAGGATAACCCAAAAAAGTCAGACAGAGTGACTTATTTCCATTGGGGTCCTTTTACCTTATTATTATAGTATAAAGTTATAATATTTTCTTATTATTCTACAATGAAGATAACATCTTATTATCATACTAAAAAGACTATCTGCTACACCAAGGTCATTAAGACTATCTACAATACGAGGGTCATTACAAGGAATAAGGTAAAATTTACACGTATGTTAGCTAAAAAATAGAAAATCATTCCCCTCCCTTTCTGTAGCTACATTCATCAGACACCTTTTGGCACTCTTCTTGAACTGGTTCACGCTATGACTGGCTTTGACATGTGCGGGTAGTCTGTTCCATTCCTTTATTGCTGTACAATAAAAGGTGTTTGAAGCCTGGCCACTGACTGTGGGTACTACAAAGTTGTGCTCTCTCCCCCTAGTACTATGATTGCTTTGGTTCCCAACCTTGACAAAATTGACAGCAAGATATTCTGGACATTGTTTCGTGAGCAATTTTATAAACATGATTTAGCTTCAGTTGTTTTACTCTGTCTTCAACATTCAGCATATCCAACTGCTGTAATTCATCCTGGCCTACATGTTCTCTTGGTCCCAGCCCCAGGATGAATCTTACGATTTTGTTCTGGGTGATTTGCAGTCTATCTTTCAGTTTTTTTGTCAAGGCAGAGTACCAAGAAGAGCAAGCGTAATCCATATGGCATTGTATAAGGGCTAGACATAGGGTCCTGCGAGCCTCAGTAGGTAGACACTGTGCTTGTCTATACAGGAACTTCAGTTTGGCATTCGCTTTCTTTACTACACTGTTCCCTATCAATTCTCCTGACATGCATGGGTCAAAGGGGATTCCCAAATATTTTACTGATGAAACCAAAGTGATGGGCTCCCCATTACATTGAACATTAAAATTATATACCCTTCTCAGTTTATGTTTTGTGCCAAAGAGAATGGCTTCAGTTTTCCCTAGGTGTAATGATAGTTTGTTGTCTACTAACCATTTGCTGCAGGACTCCAGTTCCAGATGGGGTAAGTGATTTGATTTAAGTATTTAGGCACTGAGTGCTGGCTGTAGCTCAGTTTTAAAATGGGTGTGATTATTACAATCTTTCAGCTTGTTTGCAAAGTTATTCCATATCATTTGACCCCCCAGTGAAGTACGATGAAAATAAGTCACTGACTTTTTTTTTGGGTTATCCTAGGTAATTTGCATATATGTTACTATATAATAATTTGTGTACCTGTGCCTAAATAAACTTACTAACAAGAAAGATATCAAATAGGTATTAGTTCTGGTGTGATACCTGTGTGTTCTGTTACAGCTTTTTGGAAATTGCCAGAGTTCAATGTCATAATTACAGTGTAATGTTTTGAATGTGGATTAAATAATACGTAATTAGAAAATAAAAATATTCACTATTTTCTACTCATACCATTTCTTTTTTTCCACAGGCAAAGAGAGTTGACTTTAAAGGCAGAATGGCACATCGTACATTGCTCTGTTTATTATTAGTAGCAGTTGTCTTGGCAAAGCCAGCCGACGAAGAGAAAAAATCCAGAGTACACAGTGTAAGAAGCTATATATACATGTATATTAATTTTAATAACCTATTTGTAGTTAGTGCTGTGCTTTTAGTATCTCGTCTTTCATAATTAATTTTACTAGCAAAGTTAGCTAAAACACACAGTAGTGAAATGAAATACTACTGTACTGTACCTGTATTTGTCTCGTATCTGATTCTGAATGTGTTAATGATTGTGAGTAATGATTATAGCCAAGCAGTGCTCATGTGTTTTCCATCTTCAGTGATTCATTTAGTTTTTTTTTTTAATTCCAGTACAGCACTGCATTTGTAATACTGTCCCTTGAATCCCATTATATTGTTTTATTACTCAGCTTTTGAAGGAAATCTTTTTACTGGAGTTTGTTGTAGTATATTTTTGGCATTACTTTTTATCAGTTCTTTTCTGCCTGACAATGCTAATCACATCAAGGAAAAGTGGATGCCTTGATGTTTGTGGGAGACTTACAGTCCAAGAAATTTTATCTGCCCTTCCCTTCCTTGGATTATTCCTGATTAATTTGTATCTCTCAAATACAGATAGGCCCTTTAGGTTTAACACTTCCTCATAAATATAATAATGATGGTGCTAAGAAATCCTCTTTATCTACTGCATTATCTCTTTCTTTTATGATATATGTGGTTATTGTGTCTTTTTAATATTTCTCCCTCTGTAGAGCAGAAGGCTTTTGAAGTTTGTTACTGTAGCAAGCAAGATTCTCATTTCATTTACACAAGTTTTTAGTGTGTGATAGAGAATGAGTGTACAATAGGGTGTGCCAGTGTGTGCATGTGCAAGTATGAGTGTGTAAAAGTGAGGAAGAGTGATTGCGTGCTTTTGTGCTTGCATAAATGTGGAAGTGTGTGTCCTACATTTGTTTAGTTGTGTTTGTGGGAAACAAGCTTCTGCTCCTGCCCCCACCTCTGCAATTAAAGATAACTTCATTCTCATGGGATTGAACATTTGTGAGAGAGATAAAATCTTAAGGCTAAACTTTTATTTTTAATTGACAAATTGTGCTGCTGCACATATTGTTCAGTATAATAGAGTGAAATTATTAGCATACTGTGATGTATGTGTTGCCAAGGGGGCATTGACCCCCGAAACCCTCTCCAGGATAAGTACAAGTAGATCTGTCTGGTAACTGGATGGATGATTGTATATCTATGCCTTTGACTGCATAAAGCTATGAGTGTTTGTTTGTTATTATTATACCATACTATAGTGTTGTTTGTCATTAGCTCTTGTCAAAATCCTAGGTATTCATGTTGTATGAATACCTGTATATACAGTACAGTATGTTTTAATTATTAATGAGTTCTAAATAAATTCTTATTAATTTTTGTGATATGGAAAAGTATTCTCAAAAATGTGTTTTACAACATCAACAGGAAAAGTTAAGTGACGAGGAGCACTTTGTAAATGACGAACACAATGTAGATTACGACCACGAAGCTTTCTTGGGAGAAGACGAGGCTCGGACTTTTGATCAGCTCACGCCTGAGGAAAGTAAAGATAGATTGAGGTATGTTTATGAAGTGCTTTTAATGACCTATTCTCATCATTTTTACCTGCTCTCTTCTCATTCTCCTGCTTTCTCATTTTGTTAAATTGATATGATCCCACTTCTTATCCATTTGGTAAGGGTACATACCTAAGATCAGTTTTGAGAATACCACTTGGGAAGCTTGGTCTAAGTTGACTCCCTGATCAAACAGGCTGTGGCATAACAAATCCAGTTGAAAAAAAGTGTTTCAGACACTTCTTTGCAGTAGTGGCATTGAACCCCTTGTTTGACCCCCTCTCTTCCCCCTCATTTAATGGTATGTCTTTTTCCATAAGCTGAATAGGATTCATCTAATTGTATTAACTATAATTTCCATTTTGAAGTTATGCTTTCCTTGAGTTACCATTAAATGCTTAATGTTAGGAATTATTTTAAATCATTTGCTCATGATTTGTTTCTTTGCTTCAACAAAATTATTGTGAAAAGGTTACTGTTCAGCATTTAACATAAATATATACTTATGTACAGTACTATAGTATCAAAACAGTGTATATGGTGGTGGTATATAAAATTCCATATACATAATCCCTTTTCTGAATGTAAAACTATAGTTATTCTCTACAAAATGTATTTTTTTTTTTTTTTTTTTTTTTTTAATATTTTTGGGTGTCTGGAATGGAATAATTGGATTTACATTATTTCTTATGGGAAATATAAACAGAAAATACATTTTATAGAGGATAACTATAGATTTACACACAGAAAAGGGATTATGAAATTCAAGGGTCCATTTATATATTATATATACGTATATATATATTATATACAGTGGACCCCCGGTGTACGATATTATTTCATTCCAGAAGTATGTTCAGGTGCCAGTACTGAACGAATTTGTTCCCATAAGGAATATTGTGAATTAGATTAGTCCATTTCAGACCCCCAAACATACACGTACAAATGCACTTACATAAATACACTTACATAATTGGTTGCATTGGGAGGTGATTATAAAGCGGGGGTCCACTGTGTGTGTGTGTGTGTGTGTGTGTTGTGGGGTGTATATAATATATAAACTATATATATATATATATATATATATATATATATAAATATATATATATTATATTATATATATATATATTTTATATAATATATATTAATATATATATATATATATATTTAAAATATATATATATATATATATATATATATATATATATATATATATATATATATATATATATATATAATAGGTAGTAGGTTGGTAACAGCAACCGCCCGGGAGGTACTACCGTCCTGCCAAGTGAGTGTAAAACGAAAGCCTGTAATTGTTTTTACATGATGGTAGGATTGCTGGGGTCCTTTTTCTGTCTCATAAACATGCAAGATTTCAGGTACGTCTTGCTATTTCTACTTACACTTAGGTCACACTACACATACCCTGTACAAGCACATATATACACACCCCTCTGGGTTTTCTTCTATTTTCTTTCTAGTTCCATTCTTGTTTATTTCCTCTTATCTCCATGGGGAAGTGGAACAGAATTCTTCCTCCGTAAGCCATGCGTGTTGTAAGAGGCAAAATAAAATGCCGGGAGCAAGGGCTAGTAACCTCTTCTCCTGTATATATTACTAAATGTAAAGGAGAAACTTTCGTTTTTCCTTTTGGGCCACCCCGCCTCGGTTGGATGCGGCCGGTGTGTTGAAAGAAAAAAGAATATATATAATATATATAATAATATATAATATAATTTATATATATATATATAAATATATAATATATATATATATATATATATAATATATATATATATATATATATATATATATATATAATATAATAGGTAGTAGGTTGGTAGACAGCAACCCCCTGGGAGGTACTAAACCCTCCTGGGCCCAAATGAGTGTAAAACGAAAGCCTGTAATTGTTTTACATGATGGTAGGATTGCTGGTGTCCTTTTTTCTGTCTCATGAACATGCAAGATTTTAGGTACGTCTTGCTACTTCTACTTACACTTAGGTCACACTACACATACATGTACAAGCACATATATACACACCCCTCTGGGTTTTCTTCTATTTTCTTTCTAGTTCTTATTCTTGTTTATTTCCTCTTATCTCCATGGGGAAGTGGAACAGAATTCTTCCTTTCCCTAAGCCATGCGTGTTGTAAGAGGCAACTAAAATGCCGGGAGCAAGGGCTAGTAACCTCTTCTCCTGTATATATTACTAAATGTAAAAGGAGAAACTTTCGTTTTTCCTTTTGGGCCACCCCGCCTCGGTGGGATACGGCCGGTGTGTTGAAAGAAGAAAGAATATATATATATATATTAGAATGTATTAGAATGTGGGGCAGAAGTTTGTGGTTATAGGAGGGTGGGGCAGGAGGAAAGAGGAGTGATTGGTGGAATGATGAAGTAAAGGGTGTGATAAAAGAGAAAAAGGTAGCTTACGAGAGGTTTTTAAAAAGCAGAAGTGTTATAAGAAGAGCAGAGTATATGGAGAGTAAAAGAAAGGTGAAGAGAGTGGTGAGAGAGTGCAAAAGGAGAGCAGATGAAAGAGTGGGAGAGGCACTGTCAAGAAATTTTAATGAAAATAAAAAAAATTTTTGGAGGGGGTTAAAAAAATTAAGAAAGCCTGGGGAAAGTAGGGATTTGCTTAAAAAACAAGTAGGGATTTTTATAGATGGAGAGGGAGGTTTTAGTAGAGGGCGAAATATTTTGGGGAAACTTTTAAAGTTAAGGAAAAGGGAGGGGGTAATTTCTGCAGGGGCCGGGAGGTAACCATCTTTTAGGGGAAAGAAAGCGGAATGTAAGTTGGGGGGGGTACGTGAGGCATTACGTAAAATAAAAGGGGGGTAAAGCACGGGAACTGAGGGATCATGACAAAATGTAAAAGCGGGGGGGGATATAGGTTGGAGGGGTTGGGTATTTTTTGTTTAATAAATTAGAAAGGGGGGAAAGGGTACCTGGGGATTGGCGGAGACATGTATACCCTTTATAAAAAGGGAAAGGGGGGAAAAAAGAAAAAACATTACAATATATATATATTATATTTCGTGCCAATGGGCAGAACTTGCGATTTTATTTAAATACAACGCTCATTTTGCCAATAAGACAAGTGAAAATTTGGTATCAATAATTTCACAAAAAAATCATTTTGAATAAGAAAAAATATATTTATGGTGTTTTTTTAGTATTAAATTTTGTAAAATTAAAAATTTTATTTTACTAAAAAAATTTTTTTTAAATAAGGTTAGGTAAGTTTCTCAAAATTTCCCTTTTTTTCAAAATTTTTTAAAAATTTACAAACAAAAAGAAAAAAATTACTTTAAACGTAAAAAAAATTTTTAAAAGGGGTTTTAAAAATTTGATCTTCTAATTGACCAGTTTTTCTTTCCAGCTATTTTTTTTTTATTTATTTCACATCCAACCCCCCAAGGCGGGGTCCCAAAAAAAAACCTTTTCCCATCTTTCACCCATCACTGCTTCCCGAAGGGTCCCCTTTAAACTAATTTTAAAAAACCAAATTAAAACACCCCCTCCTTCAACCACTGCCCCACCCAACCCCGCCTCCTTCCCCAAACCCCCTCTAAATTTACTTTCCTCCACTCCAACAGCACTCAATTTAAAAACCATTTTTTCCCCTTCACCCAAAAACACGCAAAACCATCCCAAATCCAACCCCCGCAAAACAAAACCTCCAAACCCCTCCCTCCCAAACCCCCAGGCCACCCCAACCCCCCCCTTCCTTCCCTACAGCAAACCCCTTTGAAGAACTTTTTTCGCTCCTTTCCCACAGTCCAACCCACCCCCAAAAACCCCTTCCCACCCTCTGGACAACAGTTTTGGTAACCCCGCACCTCCCCCCTAACTTCCAAACTACAAATTCTCTGCATTTATTCACACCACACATTGCCCCAGACATACATCCCACTGCCTCCAGCCTTCTCCCGCTGCAACTTCATCACCCATGCTACACCCATAAAGAGCGTTGGGGAAAACATACTTCATACATTCCCCTCTTTTGCCCCCAAGGGACAAAGTTCTTTGTCCCACAGACTCCAAGTGAAACCACTCCCCTTTTTCCCCCCTCATCAATCTATGATTCACCCATCTTTCATAGACCCATCCTTTGACACCCACTCCCAAATATCTGAATACATTCACCTCCTCCAACTCTCTCCCTCCAACTATACCAATTTTTTCATCACCAATCTTTTTTTATCCTCAAAACCCTTACTTTTTCCTGTATTCATTTTCAATTTTCTTCTTTGCACACCCACCAATTCACCCCAAATCTCTGCAACTTCTCTTCAGAATCCCCCAAGGCAAGTGTCATCAGCAAAGAGAAACTGTGACAACTCCCACTTTGTGTGATTCTTTATTTTTAAAAACTCCAGCCTCTTCCCAAGACCCTGCATTTACTTCCTTACAACCCCATCTATAAATATTTTAAAACAACCACGGGACATCACACATCCTTGTCTAAGGTACTTTTACGGGGAAATTTTTCCCTCTTTCCTCATCTCTAACTTGACCTACTATCCTCGAAAAACCTCACGCTTTTCAGAACCCTCCTCCTACACCATACACCTAAACACCTCCACATTGCCCCCCACCCCCCTGTCATACGCCTTTTCCAAACCCAAAAATGCCACAAAACTTTTTAGCCTTATCAAAATACGTTCACTTATATGTTTCACGTAAACCCTGGTCCACCACCCCCTACCTTTCCAAAAGCCTCCTTGTTCACTGCTATCCATTCCCGTCTTACTCTTAATTCTTTCAATAATAACTCAACCATAAATTTTTGCCAGTATACTCAACAGACTTATCCCCCAAAAATTTTTTGCACTCTCTTTATCCCCTTTCCCTTTAAAAAAAAGGAACAATGCATGCTCTCTGCCAAAACCCTGGTACCTTACCCTTTTCCCATAATTTTTAAAAAATTTGCACCAACCACTCCAAAACTATATCCCACCGTTTTTAACCCTTTCAAAAGCGGTGGGGATATAGTTTTGGAGGGGTTGTGCATTTTTTAATAAATGTATGGAAAGGGGAAAGGGTACCTGGGGATTGGCAGAGGCATCATATTCCCTTTTTTTGTATATAATACTATATAAATATACATATATAAAATTTTAAAATTTTTTTTTTTTTAAACAAGTGGGTCGCCCTCCCACCGAGGCAGGGTGACCCCAAAAAGAAAAAAAACCCCCCAAAAAGAAAATACTTTCATCATCTTTCAACATTTTCACCACACTCACACTTATCACGCTTTGCAGAGGTGCTCAAATAAAACAGTTTAAAGCATAACGTTAAAGATACAAAACATATCCCTCCAAACTGCAATATCCCAAACCCCCCTTTTAAAAAGAGGCATTTTACTTTCCCCATTTCCCGGGACTCAAGTCCGACATAAGTTAAAAAGGGGGGAAACAGCGGGAACTGATGGATCATGACAAAATGTTAAAAAGCAGGGGGGATATATGTTGGGTGGTTGTACTTTTGTTAATAAATTAGAAAGAGGGAAGGTACCTGGGGATTGGCGGAGAGCATGAAATCCCTTTAAAAAAAAGGGAAAGGGACAAAAGAGATTGAAAAAATTTATAGAGGAATAAGTTTACTGAGTATACCGGGAAAAGTATAGGGTAGAGTTAAAATTTAAAAAAATTAGGGGCAAGACGAATGAGAATTGTGGATGAGAAGGGAGGCTTCAGTGGGGGGGATGTTAGAAAAGTGTTTACCCTTGAAGCATATATGTAAACAGTATTTAGAAAAGGGGGGAATTTTTTTATTCTTTTAATGGTTTAAAAAAGGGGCATATGATAGAGTGGACAGAGGAGCAATGGGCGATGTTGCAAGTTATGGAATAGGTGGTAAGTTACTAAATGTAAAAGCTTTTATGAGTGTGGGGCTCAGTTAGGTGGTAGAAGAGAGGGAGAATACTTCCGGAAAAAGAGCCTTAACAGGGATGTGTAATGTCCCCAAAGGGTGTTTAATATATTTAAGAGGGGGTTGAAAAAAGAATAAATCTAGGTGTTGGGGGAGAGGGGGGGGTTTAAATTAGGGGGAATCAAATTCAAAATGGGAATTGACAGTTATTTTTTGCTGAGATACTGTGCTTAGGGAATTCTAAAGAAAAATTGCAAAGGGTTTGTGGAGAGTTTGAGAATGTGGTAAAAGGGAGAAAATTGAAAGTAACATAGAAAAAGAAGGGATAGGGGATCAAAGATTTAGATAAAAAAAATTGGATATCAAATTGGGAGGAGGGGATGGAAAAAGTGAATGTTTTTAATACGGAGTTGACGTTCGGGGGATGGGTTTATGAAGGAGAGGTTAACATAGAATTATGAGGGAAAAAAGGTGATGGGCGTTGAGGGATATGTGGACAAAAAACGTTATCTAAAAAGGCAAAGAAGGGGGTGTAGAAATATGAGTACCAACACTCTTATATAGAGTGAAGCTTGGGTGTAAATGCAGCAGCGAGGGGAAAGTTTAGGGAGTGGAGATGTCCCCTTTAAGGGGAAAGTGTGGGGTAAATAAATCAGAAAATTTGGGGTGTGGGAAAATTTGGGGAAAAGGGCTGGAGTTTAAAAAAAGCATTGTCAGAGGGCAGAAGAGGGGGGTTGAGGTGGTTTGGTCATTTTAAAAAATGGATCAAAATAGAATGACAGGAAAGCATATAAATCTATACGGGAAGGGGAAAAGGGGGAGGGTCTCCTAAAAGGGTTTGGAAAGAGGGGGTTTGAGGTTTGTGGCGAGGGGGGTTGGACTTCCACAAGCGTGCAGAGCGGTTAGATAGGAGTGAATGGGGACAATGATACTTGGGACCTATGATCTTTGGGGTGAGCAGGGGAATATTTAGTGAAGGAATTCAGGGAAACCGTTATTTTCTTATTCGGACTTGAGTCCGAAAAGGGAAAACAAAAGCCTCACTTTTTAAAGGGGGGGTTTTGGGGAAATTGGGATTTAGAGGGGTATTTGTGTATCTTTTCTATAGCTTCTAAACTTTGTATTCTGAGCACCTCTGAAAAACATGATAATGTGTGAGTGTGGGAAAAAGTTTGAATGAGATGAAAGATTTTCTTTTTTTGGGGTTTTTTTTTCTTTTTTTGGGGCACCCGCCTCGGTGGGAGACACCACTTGTTGAAAAAAAAAAAACCCACACACACACACAATATATATAATATATATTATATATATATATATATATATAAAATTAAAAATATATAAATAATATATATAAAACATTATTACATATAACGTTAAATCATATAACTATATAAAACTTAATACATATATATTACAAAAAACGTATATTATACATATATATTACAAAACGTTTTTTATATACATAATATATACATATACACGATAAATAATAAAATAAATTTTATATTTTATATAATATATATATATATATATACATACATATAATATACATTATAACATATACATACATAATAAAATACAATACACCATATATATATATACATATCATACATATATATATACAATATATACATAACATATTAATACCATATATACATATACAATATATATACATATAATATATATATATATATATATATATAATAAATAAATAATATAATATAATTTATAAATTTTATTATATTATATAAATATTATATATAATATATATATATAATATAATATATATACAATACATATATATACAATATATATTACAATATATATACAATATTTTTTTTTATTTTATTATCACACTGGCCCATTTCCCCCAAGGCAGGGGGGCCCGAAAAAAAAAAACTTTCACCACATTTACTCCATCACTGTCTTGCCCGAAGGGTGCTTTACACTTTCAGTTTTTTTAAAATGCAACATTAACACCCCTCCTTCAGGTGCAGGCACTGTACTTTTCCCATCTCCAGGACTCAATCCGGGCCCGCCGGTTTCCCTGAATCCCTCAAAAATGTTACTTTGCCACACTCCAACACACGTCAAGTATTAAAAAAACCATTTGTCCCATTTACTCCTATCAAACACGCTCACGCAGCCTGCTGGAATCCAAACCCCCGCACACAAACCTCCTTTTCCCCCTCCTCCAACCCCCCTAGGGCCCACCCCACCCCCCTTCCTTCCACTAAGACTGATACATCTTAATTATTCGTTTTTGCCCCCCATTTCTCTACATGTCCGAACCCCCTCACAACCCTTCCCACCCTCACAACATTTTGGTAATCCCGCACCTCCTCCTAACTTCCAAATACGAATTCCGCATTAATTCACACCACACATTTCCCTCAACTACACCCACTGCCTCCAGCCTTCTCCTCGCTGCAAAATTCACACCATGTTCACACCCATATAAGAGCGTGGTAAAATATACCTCATCATTCCCCCCTTGCCCCCAAGGGCAAATTCTCTTCTCCACAGACTCCTAAGTGCCACTCACTCTTTTTCCCCATCAATTCATGATTCACCTCATCTTCATAGACCCATCCCCCTGACCGTCCACTCCCAAATATCTGAATACGTTCACCTCCCATACTCTCTCCCTCCAACTGTATTCAATCTTTTATCCCTAATCTTTTGTTTTCCTATAAACCCTTTCTCTTTCCTGTATTCACCTTAATTTTCTTTTTTTGCACACCCTACCAAATTCATCCCCAATCTCGCACTTTTCTTTAGAATCTCCCAAGAGCACAGGTCACAGCAAAAAGCAGCTGTGACAACTCCCACCCGTGGTGATTCTTTTTCTTTTTAAATCCGCCTCTTGCCAAAAACCCTCGCATTTACTTCTCTTACAACCCCTCTAAAATATATTAAACAACCACGGTGACATCACTAATAAATAACATATATAAAATATCACAATATATAATATAATAAATACATATATAAATATAATTATAACATAATAAATATACAAAATATAATACATATTATATATACATATAATATAATTTCAATATATAAAAACAAAAAAAAACTATATCTAAAAACATATTATACAATAAAATACATTATATATATATATATAATATAATTTTTATAAAATATAATATATATATAAATAAAAATGTGCATGTTGCATTGTATTTGATTCTTATAAATTTCAGCAAAATTTGAAAGTTTTACCTCGCCATGATGGGAAGTTTTCCAAAAAGAAATAAAAACCTGGGTAATACACCCAAAAGCGGGGTAAACCGAGGATGGAAGAGGCAGGGGGTGCCAACAACCCAGAAAATAAAAAAACTTTTAAAGGCCAATTACAAGGCCATGGTATATGGCTTCATGGACAGTAAGTAATTTATTTTCTAGTTAATTTATTCTTAGTATTGGAAAGATATTCTGCTTAGTTTTTCTCTTTCTCTTCTTTCTTTTTCTCACTTTTTGTTTCTTTTTATTCAATGGTTTTCCAGGGTTAGGTTATGAGTTCCTATCCTGTCCTTATGTACAAGCTAAGAGCTATTACCTACCTCAGCTCAATTAAAAGCCTTTTTATTGTTATGAGACATACAAATAGGTAATAGGATGAAGTTGGAGCCATCTATGGGCCAGCAGTTTCACTTGGTCAACTGACTCTACTTTACCAATGTCATTGTGCTGTGCAAACATGTTACAGACTCAGGTAGAATGATCTCGGATGAAGTTTTGTTGTGTAGAAGCTCTCTTCTCACTGACCACAAAGTGGAGTCAACTGTGGTACTTTAACAGCATTGGCCTTGTACATAACAGTAAAGCCACCCACATCCCTCCGGTGTTGAAAGCTCTGGTGAAATGACAGATCTGTCCAGGTTGGACCCAGACGAGAAATGAGGTGTCATGCCGTTTTCTTATTCTGTTAAGAAGTTGTAGGTGATATGGGGGGAAAGGGGCAATCCAAGAAAGTGGAGCATACTCCAGGTGTGAATGTACAGAGTCTTGCAGCCTCAATTGTCAAGCAAATGCAAGATATGTTTAAGTGCTGTAAATTTCCTGGCTGCCTTGTTTGCAAGATTTACTACATGGTTTTTTCATAGTCAATTTGGATTCAAATTTCACCCGAAGGATATCAATCTCATTCCCAGGTTCCAACACACTCCCAGTCCTTCTTACTGCTGCTCCACCATTACCATCATGGTGACTAGAAACCATCATCATTTGTATTTTCTCAAAAGCAAATATAACCTGCTATCATTTTTCCCAGGTTGATATAGCTGTAAGCTGTAATAGAAAAGAGCTGGCATTTCCTCCCTTGGAGAAGTAGATGTCAGAGTACATCTCCATGTGCATATTGTTATGTCTTCCCTGATCCTTCTGTTCTCCAGTGTTATTACCCGTCAAGGAAGGTTCCTTGATGTTGGTGAGGGGCTCTTGATCTAGGGAATTGGATCTGTGCTCTGGTTACCTGAATTAAGCCTGAATACCTTCCACATTCCCCCCCACAGGTGCTGCATAATCCTATGGGTTTAGCACTCCCCTTTATAATATAATAATAGTAATATAGTGTTATTAGATTCAATTCTGTTGGCCTGTCTTCGTAGCCTATACCTCTTAGCCCTGGAACTAGTTTCATTGCATACTTCTCCAGTTTCTTAACAAGCTTCTTCAGGGGGTGGGTTCTATATTGGTGCTGTGTACTCAAAAATGGGCCTGGAATGTGTGTGTCTGACTGTGTTGTATGTGTGCCTTTGACAGGAAGAAACTTTTATCAGTTTTATCCTCGTGTGAATGCGAAGATGAATCATCACATTTTATTCACTTCCTGGCCTCCAGCTTGAGTCGTTCCAAATGATTTAAATATTGATGTACTTAGATTGTTCATCATTATTCATTATGCCCTTAGTGGGGTGCCTTAATGCCAGTGAAGTGCTCTTGATCCAAGGAATTAGAGCCACCTTTCCTTTGGCTCTAATCTAATTACTTCCCATTCCCAAAGTGCTGTATGTTCCCTATAAGTTGTGCTTCTCCATGAGTATAAAAAATAATGATGAGGATAGGATCCATATGATAAAAACTGTTGTTATTGCCAGATATGGACCCATCTGAACTAGATGATGATGCAGAGGGTATGACATACGCTGAAATGATGAAGCGAGATCAGCGCCGATGGGAAATGGCAGACAAAGATAATGATGGTGGTCTCTCACTGGAAGAGTTCACAGATTTTCTACATCCAGAAGAAGCTGAGCACATGCAGTCCATCGTAGTGACGGAAACAATGGAAGATATTGATAAGGACAAAGATGGCAAAATTTCTTTAAAAGAATATATTGGTAAGTCTTTGAATAATTGTGTGGCTTTAATAATAATAATAATAATAATAAATAATGTAATATTTTGCCCCCCAAAAAGGTTTACTGTAGTGTTGATCAGTGTACTGCAAAACTAATGAATCAGGGCAATATAAAAATGGAAAAATTGAATAGCTTTGAGAAATTTTTTATAAAGAAATATTATTGTGTTACAGGACATTATTAAGAATTGGGAATGATAAAGAATGACTCAGTTTGGAATATAATTTTAGTCATTGAATATTCTGTAATATCTGTATTGACCATAATCATTATGCATATTTTCTCACCATTCTTCCTTCAGAATGGTTGCCTTATACTAGTGAAGAGCTCTTGCTTCAAAAAATTAGTTACCACCGTCTCCTGTAGATCAAACCTGTTTGCCTTCCATTACCAAGGCTCTGTATTACCCATACTGGTCCTGAATATATATATTTTTTCTGTGAATAGTTTTCCCTTTTGTGCATTTTTCCTGTTAACTTCCTCTTCTCCAATATGTATTACATCTTTAGTGAAGGAGCATTCCAATAAGCAACACATATTAATAGGCACTCTTAATTTATATGACTACATCTTTGTTCGTTTATATTTACTATTTCTTGCATTTTTTGTTAACATTCCCGTCTCCCTTACCCAGGAAAACATTTATCACTACATTCTTGTGAGGAGCCATTTGAAGTTAGTTCACAACCATATCAAACTTTTAATTTAAATTGTGTACATATTTTTATTCAATGGATTTGTGTAAACTATATTTTCTTCTTTCCACACTTCAGGCATTAATTTTGTTAAACATGTCGGCCGTCTCCACATACAAGGAGAGCTTGGTGACACAAAAAAGGAAGGGAAACACTTGTCACCATCATTCTTACATTATATCACCTAATTTTTAGTAGAAGGTAGCCCAGTTTGCTAGTTTAGATTTCACTTCATGAGCGCAATATCCCAAACCTCCTTTAAACTTAAATTTGTGGTTACAATAATTTTTTATTCTAATGGTATTTTTGTTGTAAATCTAGTAATATTTGTATAATATGTGAGCCTGATTTGTATTTATAACCATTTTTCTCTTGCTAGGTGACATGTACCGTGGTGGCGATGACGAGTTTGAACCAGCATGGGTTAGCAATGAACGGGACCAGTTCAGAGAGTTCAGAGACAAGGATGGTGATGGGTATCTTGACACAGAAGAGGTAGGCTAGGTTGTCTCTTAACATCTCTTGCACATTCTAAATCCTGGTGTCTTCATTTTCTCTTACTTGACTTAATAATGGACAAAGATGAACTGCAGTGTCTGATTTCATCTCCAGTTTGTTGGTTAATTGTAAAATTGTAAGCAGTAACATCTTGTGAGATGGACTTCAATGAAGCAATGTAGAAATTACATCAAGAAATATTTTATGAGGAGATAGCTCTAATCAGAGAACAGTGATAAAGTAATTCATGAAATGGAGCCATAAGCTTTGGATTAAAGATTAATTAAACAATAGCATTTCCATCCTGGGACCCTAGATTATAGAAGTACAACAATGTTTAGGTTCGGACATGTAGAGAGAATGGAGCGAAACAGAGTGACTTCAAGAGTGTATCAGTCTGTAGTGGAAGGAAGGCGGGGTAGGGGTCGGCCTAGGAAAGGTTGGAGGGAGGGGGTAAAGGTGGTTTTGTGTGCGAGGGGCTTGGACTTCCAGCAGGCATGCATGAGCATGTTTGATAGGAGTGAATGGAGACAAATGGTTTTTAATACTTGACGTGCTGTTGGAGTGTGAGCAAAGTAACATTTATGAAGGGGTTCAGGGAAACCGGCAGGCCGGACTTGAGTCCTGGAGATGGGAAGTACAGTGCCTGCACTCTGAAGGAGGGGTGTTAATGTTGCAGTTTAAAAACTGTAGTGTAAAGCACCCTTCTGGCAAGACAGTGATGGAGTGAATGATGGTGAAAGTTTTTCTTTTTCGGGCCACCCTGCCTTGGTGGGAATAGGCCAGTGTGATAATAAAAAAAAAAAAAACAATGTTTAGGCTAAAAATTGGCACAATAAAAGAATTGCGAAAGGTTGGCAAGGTAAACCAGTGGTGAGATAACCTTTCTACAGTGATAAAGATCAGCCAGTATTCATGTTCAAAGATTTGTAATTAAATTAACAGTGCTGAATAACCCACATGAATTAAGTGTTTCATATGAATATAATGATGATAAAAATGTGGCCAGATGAATTACAGGACTAATAATACTGCAGCACCATGAATTAATGTCTCATATGTACATTACTGTATAAGTAAAGAGCTTTCCTGTTAGCCTAAAGTTAGAGGGAGGAAGTAACTTTTGATGCTGTATTTCTATTTGAACTATAATTTTATATTGTATTATAGTATTTGCCATTTGACTCTCTCCTTTACACCTTGCCATTGTGAATGAATATAATATACATATTGTATTTTTCAAGATTCTTTGTTTATATTTATTTTTAACCTTCAAATGTCATGGGGAAAACTGATGAGAAAGTGAATGAGAATTATGATAGTTTTAATTATAAATTTTATTAGTTTTAGCTTATGGCAGTCATACTTCTCGATTACATTTTTCTTCTCAAATTTCTACTGGGATATGTTTTTGGTATATACAGTATCTGTAAGTGCATTTAATATTGTTAACCATATTTTGTATTTAACAATTTTTTATATTTTTTATTACTGTGCCATAATGTATTTTCTAAATTCTAAAATCATACTATACTGGCTTTTCAGTTATGTTTAAGTAAAGTATTAAATATTCCAGGTGAAAGGCTGGATTATTCCACCTGACTATAACCACTCTGAGGCAGAAGCTAAGCATCTCATTTATGAAGCGGACACTGATGGTGACAAAGTGCTTACTAAAGAAGAGATCCTCAATAAGTATGATGTTTTTGTGGGCTCTCAAGCAACAGATTTTGGTGAAGCATTAGTCAGACATGATGAATTTTAATTTTTTATCAAGTGGTTAGGAAATTAAGAGACAAACAACAGTGGTAAAGTGTATAGTATGTGAACTTGCTTCTGCAATACTGACAGAACACATGCCCATAAACTTAGCTTTGCAAAAATATATTTGTTATAAATGAAAATAATTTTGTAATACATTGGGTATCTTCAGTATGCCCTTTTCCCACTCGATAAAAAACAATAACCTTCAGATTAAAACAGGTACCAGTAAACATTGACTTTTTTTCAGTGTACATATTAAAATGCAGCTTAGATTCATCAGCCTGATGTGGGGAAATTTGTGTGATTATCAGAGCTGTATTGTGTGTAACTGTGTCACAAATGCATAACCACAAGTCTGATGCCAAATATAGGATGAGTAACATCTTGGTGTGCAGGGTGATTACCCATAAACTTCTTGCATTGTTTTAATCATTATTTAAAGATAATATGCTCATTGAATTCATTTTATTATATTTAACAGCTCGTTTATCTAATACTTTTATAATGTTTGATGGTGATCAAGTACACCAGATATGTAAGGATGACAGATTAACAAAGTACAGTAATTGACAAGTGGACATGTATCCTAATCCATTTTCAAAATTGGGTAAAAATGTCCTTGTCTTTGTTAAACATTATTTTGCATTTGCCAAAGAGGAATTTAAGTTATGTTGCTGTTTTTCAGTCTCAGGGGTGAGAAATCTCTACATATTACTGTTCAAGGCTCTGGGACAAGATGCCAGTTATATACAGTAATCAGTGCAATTTTCTCTCTTCTGCTCCAGATTATTAGTGTTGGTGATACATTACTTCATAATTTTTCTACAGCAATAAGTATGTGATTTTCTTTTCTTAAGACCAAATCGGCTGTTTCACTTGTTCTTTGCTAAAAGTTCTTGCCGAAAATGAGCAATGTTTTGCCTCGCAAATGTCTTTTGATACAATACATGCTTCATGTAATTCCCCATTGACAATTTATTACTGCTTTACTATTCAGGACACCTACCTAGCCAAAGCATGTGCACACGAATACAGTGGACCCCCGCATAACGATCACCTCCGAATGCGACCAATTATGTAAGTGCGTTTGTACGTGTATGTTTGGGGGTCTGAAATGGACTAATCTACTTCACAATATTCCTTATGGGAACAAATTCGGTCAGTACTGGCACCTGAACATACTTCTGGAGTGAAAAAATATCGTTAACCGGGGGTCCACTGTACATACACACACTAGACCACCTCTTTCAGTCTGCAGAGTAATTTATTCAGGTTGAGATTTTTTTTTTTTTCCAATAGCCAAGGTAAAGTGACCTAAAGAAAAAACATTCACTCAAATAATTTCATGTAAGTTTAAATTTTAAGAGAAGCAATACATAATTTATTAGAGATGTACAGTTAACCCAAGTATGCTATTTTGATAAATGACTGCCCCAATGTTTTGGAAAGTACTAGCCCTTGTGGCTTAGCACTTCTTTTTTATTATAATAATAATAATAATTGGAAGGGACTTGCCAGTTAATGGAAACACTAGACCTCATAAGGTAAGATTTAGCGAATGTAAATACCAGATTCCTTGGGCACAGTTGACATTAGTTGTAATCTGTTACTTCGGACTTCATAAATATCTTTCCAAAAATATTGGCCTTTAGGGAATTCACTATACTGCACAGTAATTTTAGAAATTGTACATACCAGTATTAACATGTTCCAGAGGACTACTATTTTCTCATTTCTACTTGGAATAAATATTTTGAATGAGCAGTATGCTATTCCCAACACAATCAAATTTTGTGAATGTTTTAATATGTGAAATTAATTTATTTTTATATTTAATGTGAATAAAGTTGTATAACTTTTATGTAAAAAGCTATTAGTTATGGAACTTTCAAAACAGGTAATGTATCAAATTCTTACCTGATTAAATTTCATACAAGAATACTGTAGTGCTGCAGTTTTATATTTCAGCATATAATAGTGTATGCAATAAAAACAATTTTCACATGGTAAATCAACCAACCACAAGGCACTTTTTCCCTGACAATTCCTATATTTTTTGTTGCTAACACATCCTTTTATAGTTTCTTACTATTAGATGATCAGAAGATTGAGAAAAGTACCTTTTCAGTAAAATAAAAGATATTCTCAAGTGAGCCAAATGTATCTAACAAATTAGATGGTCTGCTCAGACTTGTTTACTGTTACTATAATTGTGGGACCCACCAAAGGAAGTTGCCTTTATGGTGAGGGACTTTTGATCCAAGGAAAAGTACTTTTTCTCCCCTTCCTTGAATCAGAGTTGATTGCTTCCTATTTCCCAGGAGTTGTATGACCACTGTGGACTTAGCACTTTTCCCTAGCATAATTGAGAAGCATTAAATTTGCAGGGTTCAGCACCCAGGAATGGGAGGCAGTTCAGTTCAAGAATTATAGATTAAATTCCTTGGATAGAGCCTTCCCTTACAGGCATCAAGACAACTTCCTTGAAGGGTACTGTTACAATATACTTTTTTGTAAATTTTCATTCATGTTTTATAATAAACAGTAAAGCTTATTTTGTTTAAATTAAATTTTTAAGTGTAATCATAAGGTTTTCAAAAAGAAGACTGAAGGTTTACACACAAGTATCCTATCATATTTTTGTGGTACCTAAAGGCCTAACATTTGGGAAATGAAAGATGTGGGGGAATAATGTTTGAGAACTATTCCCTAGCTTAAGAACCCTTCGTATATCAGTGGTAGAATACACCATGTTTATAAGACGCCATATGCAGTTTATGGCATTCTGTAAAGTAAATATTTCATCCACCAGAGGTTTTATCAACAGTTGTAAAGTGATTTTTGGCCAAGAATTTTGAAATGCTTTACAATTAGGATTGTCCAGTAGATTGACTGCAGTTTGCCTTCATGTAGTTTTATAGCAGTATCATGTCTGTCTGATAAGAATAAGTTTGGCCAGTTGCTGAAATTAGAAGAATGATCCTGGTTTTTTTGTGATGGTGTTAGTGACAATCAAAGCAGATTCTAACTACAACCCATTATGGCTGTCTTCATTGGGGAAGTTTATGCAACTTTTCCAAGTTACAGTGAATAGTAAAAGTGTTCAAATACCTGTCAGGTGTAGTGTTTTCATTGCTTCTCATTCAGGCTTGTGGAGATTTGACCCACGTAAAACTTAAGCCTCTGTGTGTTACGTAGGTACTGGCAAAGACGATGCCATGTGAAAGTTATGTTAAGTGGATGAAATGTCCAGGGACATGAACAATAAAGGCCGAATGCCCAGTCTGTGGTGCCGACGACCATTCTAATACATCTTGCAGTCAACCTCCATCTTGCCTTAATTGTAATGAAGCTCACCCTTCGTACTCCCGCCGTTGCCAGGTCTACTTAAATGAACGTGAAATCCATTGCCTCAAAGAGGCAGAAGGTCTCCCTTATGCTATGGCAGTTACTCATCTCTCATCTCCGCCTCCAAGGAGACTAAAACCCACCCGTGTTTCTTATTTTCGTGTTTCCAAACATCCCCACTTCTGGGTCCCATCTTCTGGCAGCCTCCTCTGTTTGTTACCCCCTCCCATAGCCACTACGGATTCTAATCCTTTTGCTGTCCTTGGGCTCTGACGTCCCGACTAACAACTCAGTCTGTTCTCACATCTTCGCGTCCTTCCTCTCAAGCCCCAGTATCACAAGACCTCATACGACCACCTAATCCCAATCGCCCCTCTACTCAGAAGTCCAAAAAATCCACATTGCTCAAATCTTCTTTGCCCCTTTCCTCCCTTCTTCCACCTCCACAACTTTACCTTTCCAGTCTCTGTACCTAGTTCTTTTTTCTTTCCTTCCCCCTCTCTCTGGCTCGATTACAAGTGTGGAGATTCACCCTCCTCCTCTACTAATGCCTTCCACCCCCGTCCCCTCACCAAAGTTTCTCCTTCCTTCGGTCCCCCCCCCTACACTTCATCTCCAGTCACTTAACCTCATTCCCTCCCCCTCTACTTTGGTACAGTCCATTACTGTCCCAATCTTTATAACTCACCCCTCCTCCTTCATCTCCAAAATGGTCTCCCATACATCATTGAATTCAAAACACGTGAAGCCATTTCAGAATATATTGCAGAGAACTAAACCTTCAATGGACACTGATTCACTTCCTGTTCCTTCTCTTCCCCTCTCCTTCCATCTCACAACCCCATTCTTTCCTTTCGCACGCTTGTCCGTTCCTTCCTACTTGAAAACGTCTTCCAATGCCACCACATGTTGACTTTTCTAACCCCTCTAGTCCGTAGGTGCCTTTACCTACAGATCCTTATATTTTCTTCTTTCATCGCCCAATCATGGCCATTTACAGTGGAATATCCGCGGCTCGGGTAATCGGGGGTAGCTTCAGATGGTTGGCCTTCCAGGTTTTTCCTTTTTCCCCCCCCGTTGGTAGCTGCTTACAAGAACCAAATTTACACTCGGGCTGTTTTTCCAACCTATCTCATCTATAATTTATTGTAATTCTTCGGATCCTTTCTCAGATGGACCGTTAATGAAAGTGCCCTTCTCTACGCAATGATATTCCTACTGTCAACTATTTGTCCATTACCTCGCTGCATTAACACTGCAGCCTGTATCCACTTGAATAATGGTTGTTACAATATGTTCTTTATATCTCTCTCCTCGGCATTTTTTCTATCCCAGACTTTGCCTTATCATGTTTCATCCTTACTTACACCCCACCACACTGTATACTTGGTGAGTTTATTGCCCACCATTTTTTTCACTGGGGGGGTCCTCATTGTTGAATCTACTGGCATCCAGTTGGGGCTGTTTCTCGCCTCTCACCACCCCCCTCCATTGTTTTAAATACGGGACTCCCACCCAGTTGTGATCCTCGTACTCGTACTCTCCTCTCGTTGCATCGATCTATCAGTCGCTCTTCCTCCACTGCACTAGACTTCCACCTGGTCTTGTTCTAACCAGACTACATGACAGCGATCATTTTCCGATCATTCATACGTCTTCCTATTCACCACCTTTCTGTACCTCGCTGGCAATTTGATCGGCAATGGGATCTTTACTCACACCTCACAGCTTTTTATGAGGTTCCTTCATCAGCCTCCATTGAGAGCTCCTACACACTTCTCGACGTCATTTTATACCGCAGCTTCTCAATCTATAACCCCAAACCACAAGCAGGCATTCTCAGAAGTGTGTCCTTGGTGGTCTCCTTGCTTGTGCTCGTGCATATTTTTGAAACGTGCTGCATGGGCAGGTACCGTACAATAACAACCGCTGAGAGACTTCTTGATTTTAAGCAGAAGCGAGCGATCCCCCTCGCCGGGTCCAACCGTGAAGCTAAACCACTTGTTGCGAACTATGTTTCCACCATCACCTCTGCTTTTCTATGATGTAGTCTGGAAAAAAAGTGAGGAAATTGATGGTAAATACTCTCCTGACCCGCTCCTGTTCTAAACTACGGGTCGCTGGTGTTGCTTAGCAAACCCTCTCCGACGTGCCATTGAACGTGGCACACATCTGGTCCGTATTTCCCAGGGCTCCATCGATGCCCCGCGTTTCTTTCCCCCTCCTCAAAAGGCTCCTCTTCAAGGGGGGCTCCTTGGCGTGGTGAAGAGCTCTTGGTCTGAGGAATTAGACCTGTCGGACTTCTTCCTCAACCGAACCTAATTAACCCCCCAATCTCCCCTCCCCTATCCCAGCCTCCCCTTTTCCTTTCCTCCTCCTCCTCCTCTTCCTCCCCACCCCCTCCCTTTTGCCCCTTCCTCTTTTTTGGCCTTGGGGATTGCTCCCACAGGCGCCTAGTTCCCTAGGTAGGGGAAAGGATACCGGGGTCTATCCCCATTCCGTTGAGGTTCTTGCGTGGCGTAGTTTGCCGTGGAATCTGGATCTCCTGGATGTCCGATCCCTCTCCGGTATCCCGGAGTAGCTTTTGGGTGTCTTTTCGGGCGACGGTTATCTCTGGAAGCCTCCTTTCGGATTCTGGGGGGTGGTGGCCGAAGGAGGTATGTTTTGTGGGCGGATATTCCCGGCCGCCCTCTCTTTTGTCCCACCGAGTAGCTCTGCAGATGTGAGGTTGCTACCCGGATTGTTATTCTACTAGCATGACGGTAAGGGTATGGCACGGGTTCCATGCGCATCTTCTGCGCTACTTGCGGTGCTGAGGTCCTCTTGGGGCCGGAGGAGATTTCTGGCCCTTTCATCCTCCTAGGAACTATCCCTCCCCGGTCCTCCTTTTTTTATCGTTTTTTTATTTTTATTTTCTTTTTCTATCCTTTCCTTTTTTTTTTTCTTAAAAAACAAAAGAAAGAAGTACTAACCATGGCAATCCCTAGTTCCATGATCCTACAAACCCTGGGCCCCTCTTGATACCGCACCCCGTTCTGACCCCAGCCTCGTCTTTGGAAACCACTCTCAGACACCTCCTATGCCTCTGTTAATCCTATTCCCAGGTGCTGTTTCGCCCCCTCACCCGCGTCTGGTACTGAGGCCTCGACTGACTCCTTTGATTTCTTGGACCTCGCTCTTCCTCTGACTATGCTTCTTCTGCCTCTTCCCTCTAACGGTGCAGCAATTTCAAATCGCCGACTACCGTCCACGTCGGACCAAAACTTCTGGTCCCACGCCTAAACCCCACGACAATTAACCTGCTATGATACTTCCTCACACCTTCTCGTTCTCCACAGAAACGATCGACACGTCCTTCACTACCTTTCCACGCTCATTTCAGACTGAACAATGGACCTAAATTCTTCACTTTACGACCGACTTCCTACGCCTATCTTTTCTGACACACAGTATGGGCAAGGCACAACTCTCGCCATGTTGGTACAGAATATTTCTTTTCATGCTCCTTAAGAGCGGTACGCGCATCATTACCATACAGAATGCTACCCAGGCCTCATGAGCTCTCGCTCGTCTTTCCCATACGATACTGTTCCTGCACTCTTGAAAACATCATTCCCTCAATTCATGTAAGTGGTACCGTCATTCTGCCCCATACATAGTTCAACAAAATTTCCAGACATGTGCACTGCCATTCTTGCACATCTGGACTCTCCAAGAAGCCTCCCAAGCCTCAAGGTAGACATTTACGTTTCTGCCTGCCCCGAGCGGAGACGATACCCTAGCAATGTGGCTCGTTTAACTTTGACAGCCGCGAACTCCCATCCTCAGTTTATAATAGCAGGACATCGGTTACAAGTTCGAAAGGTGATCCCGACAACCACAACAGTGTAGAAATTGCTGGCGATTTGGCAATCCAGCCGAAATAATGCAGAACTATTCGCCGTAAGCCCGTCTGTGTGCCGATGACCATTCCTAATACTCTTGCAAGTCGATCTCCCTCTTGCCCTTAACCGGTCATGAGGCTCACCCTTCGTACGCTCTCTCCCGTTGTCAAGTCTATTCAACGAGCGGGAATCCGTAACTCAAAGAGACAGGTCTCACCTTATGAGCCATGGCATTTTCTCATCTCCGCCTCCAAGGTAGACTCCCACGTGTTTCTTATTCCCGTTTTCAAACTTCCCCCACTTCGGTATCCCATCTACACCC